CTTGGCTACCTCTACGGCCCCAAGGCGGTTGTGAAGGACAATAAAATACTGCTGCTGCTGATGAGCTACAAGGAATCGCAGGGTAGTCGTAATCCATCACAACCACCACCATCACCACCTACAGGTTGGGAGGTTGCGTTGTATGAGGCTACAGTGGCCGAGTCCAGCGGAACCAAATCCACTAACGTGGACCAAATCTACAAACTCCGCAGAGCCACTCAGGCAACTTCCTCAAACTTGAGGACCGTCTTCACCACGGCGATGAATACACACAAGTGGAGGTCCTTCGTGGATAATGCCGGGAGGGGCGTGGTGGACAAAAGCAAGAAGGTGGTGTTCCCTCTGGTGGCGGTGAGCTCCGAAAGCGGCGCGCATGTCTGCACAGTTCTCCACTCGACCAACGGAGGGAGTGCAGCGAGTGAGACTTGGAAGTTCCCTTCGAGCGGTGCGGTGGCTGAGGGCTGCGTCGCTGCCACTCTCCTCGAGTGGGGCGGGAAGCTCCTTATGATTGCCACGGATGAGCTTCAGCGCTACCGGCTGTACGAATCCGGTGGCGCGGAGGCGGCGTGGAAGGAGGTGACCGGGTCGCACGCGTACCTGCTGGGCGACTTCCTCAAAGGCGTTGAGCGCGGCGAGGGAGACGACTTCATAACGGCAACCATCGACGGCGCGGAGGTGGTGCTGTTTTCCCGGCAGTGGCACAGTTACGACGACAAGACAAAAACCATTGGGAGCGTGCTGCAGCTTTGGATGACCGACAACAAGCGCATGCACCCTGTGGGCCCGATCGCCACGGACCCGCCGCAGAGCCACGACTTCAGCGCTCTGCTGTACGCAAAGGACGATAACAAGTTGTTTGCCGTGTACGAGAGAAGAGACAACACGTCAAGCGGCCTTATTTTTGCGCCCCTCACCGAGCAGCTGCAGCGGGTCAAGGATGTGCTGGGTGCTTGGAAGAAGGCGGACGCAAAAGTCGCAGCGCTTTGCGGCGCCGCCACGACGGCTGGGGGGCCTGCCCAGTCGGGGGCTGCCTGCAACCCTCCGGTGCCCACGGACGGGTTGGTTGGCTTTTTGTCCGACGCTGGGGACGCCGGCCAGTGGGCCGACGACTACCTTTGGATGAACGCCACGGTGAGGGAGGCGACGAAGATTGCCAACGGCTTTAACCTGACGGGGCCCGCGTCACACATTGTGTGGCCGGTGACTGAGCAGGCGGGGGCGCCGGCGTACAGCTTCGCTGGGCGTGGGCTCACCGTGGTGGCGACGGCGACGATCCGTCGCGCCCCCACGAGCGCCACCACGTTGCTGGGCGTGGGGGTGAGCGTGGGCCGGCACGTGCTGGAGCTGAGCCTGAGCTACGACGAGGGGAAGCGGTGGCGGACGGGCGGCAGGGGAGGCGCGAGTGCGGCAGCTCTGCCGTGGATGGAGGGGGCGACGTACCAGGTGGCGCTGACGGTCCGGGACGTCAACGGCAGCGCCTACGTTGACGGCGAGATGGTGGGGCCGCTGGTGGGCACCCTCGTGCCTGCGTCGGCTCTCAGCAGCACGACGGACGCGGGCGCTGGGGCGGGGGCCGAAGAAATACTGCTGCCGCTGCAGGATGATTTGTCGTACGTTTTCTTTGGGGGCGACGGGGCCGGTGCGGGGGGCGCAGGGAACGAAGTGACGCTGACGAACGTTTTTCNGTACAACCGGC